GAAACAACTATTAGAATTTTTAAATTCTAAAAATGGTGTGCTAACTTCATACAGGTGAAAACCAACTGATTTTGTGATCCAATTTCATATAGGATTAGTGCGAGGTTCTTTATGATTAAGATTAAGTCATACTAATAACAGGTCCTATTCAGTTTTTACTATTAATTTACTGATTAATCGTTAATAATAGCTCTTATATCAAATTTAAATTTTTTGACAATTTGTAGCAGGTATTTGGCAAAATTTGTTTGAACAGCTTTGACTAATAAGTTCTTAATCGTAAAACTGAGTTTGCGCTTCTGTACTTTTATATATATATATGTATATGCACATGTGATCTGTATAAAGATCACACATAGAAGAAAGTATAAAGATGATTGATTTGTACGCTACTTAATTCTTTATAGGTTTATATAAGTTTATATTTTATACGACATATCTGTTTTCGCGCATGCGCACGAAGTTAATAAAAATTTCTTTCCATATTTTCAAAACATAGTTGGGATATTCCTCCGAAAGATTCAGATATATGCACAACTCCAAATAATAATTTGACATATTTTTAAATTAAATTTAAATTAATATAAAACACGCTTCACACATCTTCAAAAGAATATTAAGTATTTTCTTCATTCGCTCTTGAAAATATCCAAAATCATCGAACATACAATTATAAATATTTATATAATATTTAATAGATGCGTGTATACACCCATCAGAAATATATATAAATATACATGGAAAGAATTCACGAAGAATAAAATAAAAAATAATGTGTAAATTCTTTTTATCTTTTGTATATTCTCTCTAGGACTCGCTAATCTTAAAAAAATAAAATAAAATACGATACAAAGTGTAGAGAATATATACATATATATCTATGAAAGTCTGCATCACTGTGCTGCACATATTAAACTTATAAACGGAATTCAATACAATTTCGTAAATCTCAATCGAGCTTAGAATAACACTAGTTTACAAAAAAAAATTTTTTTTCGTTATTTTTAAACCATAATTAAAGTTATTAAATGTAAAAATGGCTTTTTTGCGATATATATATTATTCGAGATTTTTTTGTAAAAAAAAGTTAATATTTGGAAATTCTGATCAAATGTCTCATGAAAATATAAAAATGCATTTTTTTTTATATTTTACTTTTTAGATATGTTATTAAAAAATAAAGCTGGAAACTATTCATACTGAAACAAGTGTCCTATAATGTTGGTAAAAATTGGTTTTCAGCACCCAAAAAATCTATAAGAACCATCTTATCTGGTATAGAATAATTTTTGGCTGTAAACTAATTTAATACTGATTGAACCAATTATAATCTGCGCATTTTTTCTAAAAGTTATTCCTTCCTTATCCAACAATAGTTGCTTTCCATTTTCACTCAATTGATATTAAGCCACTGTTATGCAAATATATTTTATATTTTATACTCAGATAAAATGTCAATTTTTCAGTAAGCAAAATGAACGCGCAAGTAAGAAAATATTATAAAAGTAAGATAATATGCTTATTATTTTTATCGCTTAAATACATTACAATGAGCCTATTAGATTCATTAAAGCATACGGTCTCGATCATGAGTAAAAACTCAGTTGAATATCACTTTCCCAACATCAAAAAGAACGTCCATTCAACTATAAGTTATGTCACAAGTGAGAATTATCTGAGTTTTTATGTAAATTTGTAAATAGAAAGCAACTATTACTTCGATTGCTTCACAAAATGCTCTATGTTCCGCTTGCGGAAAGGCAATATATTCGTCTCAGAAGATATATATATTATATTTTATTTTATGATATATTTAAGCGTCTGCCCTAGGTAATAAATTCAGCTGCAATATATAGCGCCGAAAATCAAATCGGTATGAAGACGTCATTGAAAAATGTTATACCATATATCATGTTATTCAATACCATCAGCGAAAGCTGGATCTTTTTTCATTTAGAATACTTTTATAACTACTTTTATAGCTGCGTTCATTCAACTCATCCCTATAAAAAATAGCAGATCGACGATATATTCGTAGTTTATATAAAATAATAGTATTTGCAATAATAAAGGTACTTTCCAACAACGAATGCTGCTTAGTTTTCTTTACTCCGCCACTAGAGGGCAGACAGTCGTTTTACACAGCTTTTTCAAAGTTTTAAGTTTTAAGAAAATTTTTTTAAACACTACACAATGTGTTTGTTGCTGGAAAACACCTCAAGTTTACAGCGATAATATGTATTCAATTGATTCACTATAATACAATAGGAATTCATGTATATGCAACGTTTTCTTTATACATATACTGCACAATCTTATGACAGAAAAAAATACAAATGATACAAAGATAGTGTAGTGTTTTTGTTCGAGTTTGAAATAAAAACAAAAGAAAAGCAATAGCGTACACATGGAGGTTTGCTATATAAAAAATCACGAACAAGTTTATTAAAATGTTGACTGTATTGGCACCATATTTTCTTTCTAAGTACGTACGATCTCTTTTTTTAACGCAAATCATGTTAGATACTTTCTCTCTCTATATATAAAAACGCTCTTCTTTACGCCAGGCAAAGATATAATATCAATTGTTATTTTTTTAAATAGCTAATATATATGGTGTCACTTAATTGGCGCCCAACATTTATATAGCGATATTCCTCGTGGAAAACTAAGTCGAAAAGTCCTGTACCATTTTTTCTCTAAGGCATAATAAAGTAGTAATTATTCAGTAACGTATTAACGTTACTGAATAATCACTATTTTATTATGCCTTACAGAAAAAATGGTACAGGATTTTTCGACTCAGTTTTCCACGAGGAATATCGCTATATAAATATTGGACGCCAATTAAGTGACACCCTGTATACTGGAACTTATCCTCATCGTATATATGTATATCATCAACGCTTGAAAGAATTCAGAGAAAACTACGAGATTTTATTATATTTTCTTCTTATGTGATGCAATTTGTATATATATATTTTTCGTCTTGTTAATACTTCCTTATATATCTATGTATGTGTTTATATTCCTAATACTTTTTTTAAATTACTTTTCACACTTGCAACAACTTTGCATCGATCTCTTCAGCAACTATGTCACGCTGCTTTTCGCGAAATTTTTTCTATTAGCGTTTTCAGTTGTCATTAATCGTTAAAACAAAAATTCCACGTCCAATAATTTTAATGCATGGTATTATATTCTTTTACATATAGTTCTATTTTTTTCAATGATTGCATTTTGTCAATTATCGCCCAATCGTCTTTTATTCGTTTTATTACAAATATTCAATTATTTAATAAAACGTTCTATGGCGCTTTTTTAACGATATATTTTCTTTTATAGTTAGCATTTTTTAAGTATGCTTCAATATTTGTTTGTAATTAGTTTAGAATAAAGTTAGAGTGTGGATGCGCTTTATACACATTGCAACTGCCTTATTTAGATTTTTTATGAATAATAAGGAATAGTATATGTGCATAATGATCTTTATAGAGCTTTAAGATTAACTAATCTTTATACTCCAACTGTTCAGTTGTTCGTTTGCTCAATATATTTTGTAAAACTATAAAAATTGTACTAATCACACTCTAGGAATCGGTATACTCTCTCACGCTTGGATACGTATACTATTTAATCTAAACATGTAAATACAATTCTAGCTCTGTTGTGGAGTATAAAAAATATTTCCAAAGAATACATTCCTACAAATAAAAAACCACCATTTCCATAGAAAATTATTTTTACTGCATTAGTCTTTTTCTGTTCTAACAACGAGTACAATTTCTCGAGAACGAAAAAGCGTTTGGAATTTTTTATAACTGTAGTTAGAATGTACAACAGCCCTTTGATCTATAAAATGATCTATATAACAATTAATCAATTTAATAATAGGAATGTATGTATAAAAGCAACGCATTTATTAAATATAATTACTACTCATTTTACTTCGCAAAGTTTAATGAGAAGCATATCATCATGTAAGAACTATTCAATGAAAGAGAGGAGAGAATATTACGCCTATATGTGTGTGGTATAATTCTTCCACGATATAACTAATCTATATAACTCGTGCTATTGTATGTTTCAAATGGCGATTATATAGTGTTTTTAAACTACTCTTGGCTATTCTTTCTATCTTTTTTATCATTAAACATAATCAAATACGAAGGAATGATTAATCACATAATACTTTGAGAATATCAATCTACTGCATAAAAGAACAACACTCTGTATATAAAAAACAGATCAATTGAAGCAGTCAGGTACATTTTCACATTTAGCTTCCCAATGAAAAGTTGCAAAAAATTACGTCACTCACTAATGTTTATATTTGCAGCACCATGTGTGAAAAGGAACAGTTAACTTAATTTTACATATATATATATATATATATATATATATATATGTGTGTGTGTGTGTGTATGTGTGTATGTATGTGTTGTGCGCTCATGCGCGCACGCGTTTTAAATGCATTAAATATGTTGTCTTTATAAGCTACGTGTAGCTACGCGGGACGTCAACATCCAACGATGCTATAAATCTCGAAGTCATTTCTACAAAAATGCGTATATCGTGATATATCAATGATCGAATTAGAGATAATCTTATTCCTCGAAAGAAAGCAAAAAAGCTCGAGAATAGAGCTTTTAATTTAATGGAAGGCAAAATATCTGTTTGAGGAGACCTTTTCGCGGATTTTCATCCTCCATATCGTCGTAATCGTTCTCGTCGTAATTGTTAACGATCGCGTTATTATTGCCGGGACTGTAAGTTACGTCTGTGATACTCAGAGAACGAGAGCACGCCGGATTATCGTATCGAAACGGGAAAGGTGGCGATAGCCGTCGCTGATGTTGTTATAATTATTGTCGTTCTCATTTTCTTCCGAATACGTCATTAGAAATACATTATTGTGATAACTTCGATTACTTGAGCCAACAACAGGGAACAGGGGATCAATACGAAGTTTCGCGAGTCTGTTTTGCAATTCGTACATGTAGCATTGCTGCAATTGATACTGCTGTTGCTGTTGCTGCTGCTGCTGTTGCTGCAAAAAGTCTTGATTGTGATGCACAATGTAAAGCGGCTCTTGTCACACGCAGTCCTCCAATGACATTAGTAGAGGATTCACATACTCGAAACCATCGAATTCGCTCTGATCGATCTTCTCAATTAGCTTCCTACAATATAAAAACGCATAAATATTTATGAAAGTGTATCTTTTACATGTGTCTATTAATAACAATATTTTTAAGGCTCCTGCCTCCTCGCCTCTGACGCAACAATCCAACATGACCACGGCGAGAACCCAGGGGTTTTAACATTTGCTTTGAGATTTCTCAAAAACCTAGGTTTTCATCGAAAAATATTTCATACAAAAGAAGTAGAAACATTTTTGGAATTTGAGGTCATTGTTACTTTTTTTTAACAAAATCATAATTTTTTTTACACATAAATCGATTCTTCATATTTGGCATAAAAATTAATGCATGAGCTATTTCATGTTTCATTCTGACAAATTTTGTCAAAAAATATTAAATATCTCATAATACTCATTTCGATAATCTAATCTTAATAACTTTTTATTTCATTATTCTTAATGAGATAAATCAATTGCTGTAAGAAAAACATACTTTGATGATTAACATAAAATTTGCAATATGCAACTACATATTTTTTTAAGTAATTATATTTTTTATGCCATTTAAAAAAAAATAATAATCTCAAAATCTCAAAAATGCCTCCATTCACTTAAAATCCTACAACTTTTGCATGGAACATTTTTCGATAGAGCCTTGATTTTCGAAAAATCTTAGTACAAAAATTAAAGAGAGACATCCTGTATCAGTTGAGCCAATAAACTTACGGATCATCTGGAGTCAAACGGACTTCTTCGTCCGTAAATTCGGGCGGAAAGTTTGCTAAATCACGATCGGAATCCAAGCGTGGTTTGTAAGGTGGTGTAACTTGTTTTTGTTCCAACTGCAAAGTTACAACGGGTAGTTCGGTAACGTTGTGCTTAAAATCAGACACTGCGAAATATATCGTAAAAAGTAAACACGTTTACGTTTGTATTCCAAGGTGTATACTCAAATCTTAGAAAAAAATTCCCTGAGAATTCCATGATTTTCCAAATACTTTTGTTCAAAATTCCAGGTAAAATTAAAGTATTTTAAATAATATTTGGAATACAATTTTGAAATAATTATTTGTTAGACAATTTTTTAATAATAAAATACTTATTAAGTCAGCTCTTTTAATTTTTAAAGCCACAATCTCCACTTGATTCCTCTCGACCAATAGAGCCAAACGCGATGTTATTGCGACACTTATGAAAGAAAGAACATTTGAAAAAGGAATTTGAATCCTATGGTTGGGATCTCAAAAATTCCCCTTGTTCCTTTTCTTAACTTTCCCTGTCGGCCGACTTTCGGACCAATATTTTTCTCGCCTATTTCTTTACAGGGGATGTTAAGAAAAGGAACAAGGGGAATTTTTGAGATCCCAACCATAGGATTCAAATTCCTTTTTCAAATGTTCTTTCTTTCATAAGTGTCGCAATAACATCGCGTTTGGCTCTATTGGTCGAGAGGAATCAAGTGGAGATTGTGGCTTTAATAATTTTTTAACATAAATGAAGTATTTTTTTAATATAATAATGTAAAAATGGTAATAATTTCGTCAACCATATCTGGCTATAAATACTATTTATTAAACTTTACGACGTTTCGGCCATGGATTTCGGCCCTTATCAAGTGCTACTTAATACCGCATTATTGTAATAACACTACTTGTTTATAGTTAGTTCGTAACACATTATCATGACAGTACATCACGTCATGACCTAAGATCAAACAAGTAGTGTTATTACAATAATGCGGTATTAAGTAGCACTTGATAAGGGCCGAAACCCATGGCCGAAACGTCGTAAAGTTTAATAAATAGTATTTATAGCCAGATATGGTTGACGAAATTATTACCATTTTTAATTATCGACTGGTGACTTCTTAGTTCTTTATATATATAATATAATAATATAATATAATAAAATATATTTTATAACAAAATATAATAAAATATATTTTAATATATACTTTACATAAAACTAATAAATTTTATATTCTTTAAAACTATATTTGAAAAAATCAAAGGGGCAATTTTTTTAAAAATTCCCTTAATTCAAATCAAATTCCATGATAATTCCAGGATTTTTCAAGGTAGAACAAAATTCCCTGAGAAGTCCAGATTTTCCAGGTTTTTCCAGAAAGTATACACCCTGTATTCTTAAGTACAAGATATTCACCATTTCCCAATCGATCGCTTTGAAGAAAGGATGGGCGACGATGTCGAGAAAACCGGAGGGTCTTTTTCCACAGCCCAGCCTCTCTGCGGGATCCTTGCAAAGGAATCCTCTGAGTACGGACGCCGCCTTAACGGACAACGATCGCGGTATACGTATAGTCTTCTCCAGAATGACTTGAAATAAAAAATCTTCAGTGTTCTTGTCCGGCTCCTCGGCCGCACCGGTAAGGTCGAAGGGACTGCGACCCGCCAGCATCTCGTAAAGAAGAACTCCTAATGCCCACCAATCCACCGAGAAGCTATATTCCTCGCCACGGAGAATTTCAGGAGCGATATAATTGGGAGTGCCGCAGAAAGTGCCAGTATTATCACCCTCCCGGATACCTTCCTTGCACATTCCATAATCCGTAAGCTTAACGTGTCCTTCGTGATCGAGCAAAACATTATCCAGTTTCAAATCCCTGTATATAATTCCTGAAAGCAAATAATTATCAAATTTAAATCGCATTCAGTCTTCAACAAATTATTAATGTATTAAAAAAGAGGAAAAGAAGAAAAAATTGTACAAATTGCAAATTTGCATATTGCTTCCTCACCATTTCATTTTGCTTATTAAGAGATGGTTCTTCAATTATGGCTTCCTCATGATTGAAAAATCATCTTAATAAACGAAATGAAATGGTGAGGAAGCAAGGTACAAATTTCCAATTTGCAAAATTTTTTTTCATGAAAATTTTTTTTAAGATTTCTATGCTAATATGTTTATAATATTTCAAAATTTGAAAATTTACAATTAAAAAAAATACACATTTTCCAATTCACACCAAACTAAAAATCGATTAAATCGAAGGAAAAGGTTTTTTAAAATTAAATTTTTAAGGTTCGTCTTTACCATCCATACCGAACGTTTACGTGACACAATATTTATATTGAAATATGTAAAATGGAACAAAATTAATTATATATTGCACTTAAGAATTTATAAGACTTGATAAGGACCTAAACCTAAGGTCGAAACGTTGTCTTTTCTTGTACATGGCATCAAACAAATAATAATAAGAATTAATTTAAGCCAGTTGGGTCGTCTCACATTTATTTTTAATTTAAATTTTTAATTTCAAAAATATACATGCTTAAACATTCGTAAATTTGGAAATGTCGGATTTATATAAAATTGCCATTAAAAAATGAAATTAAATTTGTGGAGAATTTGTAAAATAGTTCATTTTTTTAATTAGAATTTATTTTAAATATAAATTTTTAATGTGGAACATTCTGAATAAAATATCATTAAAGAATAATCATTCATTTTTTAATGGCAATTTTATATAAATCCGACATTTCCAAATTTACGAATGTTTAAGCATGTATATTTTTTGAAATTAAAAATTTAATTTTTAAAAAACCTTTTCCTTAATCCTCCTTAAATTAAATACCAAACATTATTAATGATATTCTATTTATATAAAAATAGTACTAGTCTAATATCTCAAAATATTAGTCTAGTATCTAATAATACATAAAAATATTATTAGTTTAATATCTTAAAATATTAGTCTAATATCTCAAAATTCACAGAATTTAAAAGAACTGCATACATTTTTACAAACAAAAATTGTATAAAATGAATCATTTTACCAATCATCGCCAAACCCAATGCCAACCATCCTTTAATAATAGTTTATTTATATAAAAAAATTTAGCCCGATATCTTAAAATTTACGAAAATCAAAGCAACTACAAATATTTTTTGAAAAATTTAAATTGCATCAAAATTTAAAACACTGTACGAACTTTTATAAAAATGACAGTAAATTAAAACGTTCTATTGCTTTACTTGTATGTCAAATTGGAGCGCGGTAAGTAAAATATTTTTTAAGATATTTAAATTTCAAAAAAATAGGTGGGCACATAAATACACACATACATACAAACATTTTTTTAAATGTGATTTTTCGATGTTTTGGAACATTCTGGTACATTGGTATAGAAATCTAGAAAAAAAATGTTTTTTCATGAAAACAAAATTTCCTCTATGAGAAAGCAAAAGAGGGGAGATAATAAAAAGGGAGAAGAGAAAGAGAGCAGAGAGAAGAGGAAAATAAAGAAAAGGAGAGGAAAAGAAAAAAGAAACGAAGAAGAAAGAGATAAGAAAAAAGGGCGAAGAGAATTCTTTACCCTTTTCATGTAAAAAGTTTAACGCCAAACTGATTTCAGCTACGTAAAATCGCGCGTGGTCCTCAGGAAGACGACGCTGCCTCTGCATGTGAAACATGAGGTCGCCACCGCGCACAAACTCGATGACGAAGAAGAGGCGCGAAGGCGTTTGGAAGCAAGAATGCAGGCCCACCAAGAAGGGATGATTCGAGGCTGTCTCGAAGACGTGCTTTTCCGTTTGCACCCAATCGATATCCTCATCATCCGTCACCAGGGACTTCTTAATAACCTTCATGGCGTAGATCCTCTTGGTACGTTTCAACTCCACCATCAAGACCTTGGCGTAGGAACCACGACCAATCACTCTGATCAACTCGAAGTCGTTCAACGAATACTGCCGTTGCATATCATTCGAAGTATCGCCCTCGTTTAATGTGTCCAACGGCAATTCTTCCCCTTCCTCACTTCCGATTTCTTCATACATGAAAAAAGGAATTTGATAAATGAAAAAAGCCTTTGAATCAATGATCAAAAATAGTGCGCTTTTAAATAAAGCAATAAAGCAATAAAGCAATATTAATATGAAGGAATAAAGATTCATCGACATTGATCTATTCAATCATATCAATTATTAATAAATATGATTAATTCAATATTTTATTTCTAATAAAATTTGTTTTGTGATCAATCCACCGTAATATATTTCGGTAATCTAGTCAATAAATCCGATCTAGTCGATAAATCCGCCGCCAAACGATTGGTGAAGCCATAAATATGTTTCTCCCTTATCACAGTAACAGATTGTTAATTTAAAAGTGTACATCTAATTAAAAATTGCGTTCTCAATAAAATTGAAATTTAACTAATCTTTTTACATATAATTATAAAAATATTAAAATAATAATAAAAAATAATAAAAATATTAAAAATAATAAAAATAAAACAGAATAGTTATACTTGGATAAATTTTTAGGGCATCAAAAAAGAAAAAAAAATGTATATATGTATATACAGGGTCGACTTTAGGGCATATGTGTATTAAGACTTCGAACTAGAATGACACCAAGAATACACAGTTTCAGTATAGTCGTCACGTTGCGGGACACTTTGTATATCTATAGTTAAAAAATGATAAACATTGGTACTTAAGTAAGCATTCATAAGAAACGCCAATAATTCATTTTTTAAACACTCTGTATAAAAAAAAAAAAACAAGTATAAGCTCTTATTGATAAAAAATCTCAAATTAAACATATTGTTGGTATTAAAAAAGAGCTGGCGCGGGCGATGGAACGCAGATAATATTATTAGTTGAAATAAAATATAAATTGAATAATATTTACTGATTTAAGCTACCCTGTATAAAGAAATATGTGTAGACTTATTGAATTATCTTACGATCGCGCGAATGCTCCTCGATGATTGGCGATTCCGAGATCTCATCCTCGAGATGAGACGCCGGATCGCACGGATACGGATCAAGCTGTTGATCGCCATTCCTGTCGATCGTTTGCGACTCCGCGCTTTGCAGTTGCTGCTGCTGCTGACTCAGGCACGGCTTGCGCACCACTTTGTGGCACTTCTTGTGCACGAGCAGTTTGCATTGAATGCACTTGAATCCCTGTCGCCCAAGGCCCCAGATTCGATCTTGGCAATACGCGCAAAACGCCCTCTGCAAGAAACAAGAATATCAAGAATTTATGACGTCATATTGCATCTCCCTGGATCTTGTCTTGGAAGGGTGTTAAAGATTATTTAGCATTAGAATCGTAAAAAATAATTAAGTTTAAATATCAGTTTCTTGGACATACAGTGAATACTCTTTCAAAAATACGGACAAAATAAAGTACTGAAAAGTATAGTGAAGGAAGAGGAGAGAAGTTGAAGAAAATAGGAGGATTCATACGCAAAAACCCGGTTACGTGTGCAATTTTGCGCTTTCAATGATAGAAAGAGAAAAAAAAGTGAAAAAGAGAAATCTGCTTTCTCTGTCGACGACGAAGCCACACTAGCCAGCAAGTTTTAGAGTTGGAAGTGCTCCATGAAAGGACTCTATACAACAGAACAGACTTGTTTTTGTCAGTGATGTCGCACTTGCGGCAGATCTGCAGATCTATCCTCGCACTGCGGAGGAACATGAGGAACAGGAGGGAGTGAGAACGGGCAGAGGTGATAATGAGTAAAGGCAATGATAATTAAATGGTATGGTGCTTACCCGATTAAATCGTTTCGCCTGAAAAATATGGCCATTCACCCGATACAGCTTCCTCCACCTACGAGCGCCACGTCTGTAGATGCTTCCTTCGAAAAAAAAAATAAAATAACATAAATGTCATAAATGATGGAAAAAGCCAGTTGATGCACTCCCATGATATCCAGCAACAATGAAGAAATGTCATTATTAGATGCAGACTTTCATATAAATATAATTGTCTTAACTCATTTAATTATGTATTAAATTTGCCCATATATAATATTCGATATTAATTCGATATTAATTTGGGTTTCATGAATATATTTTTAAAGGATAAAGTTTGTCATCGAATACCGCAATGTCTTTTGCCATTTAATTTCACCATCTCTCTCTTTCTCACTCTCTCAATCTAGTCGCGACCGATTGCGTAATCGAATGATATATGGCATCAATGACAACGAAGTATATCAACGAACAAAAACAAACAACAAAAATCAATGACAATAATAACAATGGAATAGGTTTCCCATAACTCGCACAATCGAAATAGCGATAAAAGTTATTTTACTTTTTTTAATCTATATATATGTATACAAAGTGTTTATGAAACTATGTTAGAGATTTTAAGGACGTATTTTAGCGGTCAAAATAAGAGAAAAAATATTTCTATAAACATGAGTCGAAAAATGCTTTTCCTCCAAGTTCTAGCTCTTAAATCTTTTCTCAATCTGTGAAAAAATCTCTGAAAACAACAATACATTTTTTTCAATTTATTCACCCATTTTTAAGAGGACTTGGAGAAAAAACATTTTGAATCCATGTTTATAGGAACTTTTTTTCCTTATTTTCACTTCTAGAATACATCCTTAAAATCTCTGATATAGTTTTAGAAAAATTCTGTAGTTTATATGAAACATCCTGTATATTATACGGGGTGTCCCATTTTAAAGTTTACAGCGTAAACTCGCAAACCAATGATTTTATTGAAAAATATTTCAAATTAAGTTATATGGCTTCAAGGAAAACGTAAAATAGTGGCAAAAGATTTGACCTTGGATAGTCGTTTAAAAGTCATATAAAAGTCACTTTCAATTTCTTAAATAAAATATACTATTTTTCATTGCATATTCTTGTCTCAAGAGCTTTCAAAAACACTATAATAAAATATTTTTCTCTTAAGTATCTTGTACAAAACTACCACATGCTTCGAAGAAGACTGATCAGATTCAATTCATATTTATATATCCGCAAACACACAACAATTTTTCTAATTATTCTAACACGTTTTCATAATTCGTCAGGCTTATATATATATATATATATATATATATATATATATATATATTCTATAATTTTAAACACGCATGCATTATAATTATAACTATTTTAATAAAATCATAATTGTAACTAATTATATTTAAATTAACGTGAACCTATGTAAAAAGGTGTTATAATTATAACGCAAGCGATAAAAGTTACGAGATAGACTTTTTTTTACGTAAGAGAAGAAAATCTTTATTCAATAGATCCTCTTGGTCTCTTGGGAGGACCTGCATGTCATCATTTTTGAGAGACACTCGAACGTCAATTCAACGACCATCGAACAATTGTATACCGAGCATATGTTTTAAAGTTCTTATAAAGACCGGGCATATTTAAGATTCTTTGTAATCCTTTGTTATAGCGAATTATAAAGTTAATAAGCAGAAAATTATATTGAAAAAACTTTCTTGTTTAATTCTCCATTAATAAATAGACTTATAATTCAATCTTCTGTGTGTCCTTAGATTTCCAACGCAAATGTAGCCAGCGACAGTGAATCTTACAGTTTACGGCTATGCCATTAATTTTCGACACATTTCCTAAAGCCAGGGTTGAGTAATAACTAGTTAATTAGTTAATTAGTTAAAAGTTAAAAAAAGTTAAAAAATTAATAACTTTTAACTTAGCTTAGTTAATTTAAAATGTATTAATTTTTAATATCAACTAGTTATTTTTTACCTTAACTTTATTATTAACTTTTTTCCTAAGTTAAATTTTTTTTATCTCTGAATACGATTACTGTCTTTTTATAAGTTATAAACGTATTAATTTTAAATTAAAGTATTATTAATTTTTCTGTTCATTTATCATCAATTGTAATTACCAAAAAATATATTTTTATATAAAAATCAAGATTTCTTTATTTGTTATACATTTTAAAAGAATTAACAAACAAAATTCTAATTTAATATAAATAATGTTTTTAAAAATTAACTTTTGATTTAATTTCAGTTAATTTAATCTTAACTTAACTTGTGAGTTAATTTTTTGTTTGTGCAACTTTTAACTTAACTAAATTAATTTTATAAGCAATTAACTTTAACTTAACTTAGTTTTAAAAAATCATTAATCCAACCCTGCCTAAACCTATGTAAGCCTTTTTTGAACAGAAAAAAATATCCCGAATTCGATCTTTTCTTTCAGTAGGCAATCACTCTGTCACTAATAAGAAAATCTAAAAATTCTGATTTTGATAAAATTTTACACACATGTAGGGGGCCTAAATAAATAAATTTAAAAATTGCGGCAAAATTAAAAATTTTTTCGAAAATAAAATTTTTTTTTTTTTAAATGTTATTAATGTTATTAAACAGAGGCGTTCTTGTCATAAAACTTTTGTATAAAACATTTTATCTTAAATACTTTTCGGAAAAAGCAAAGAACTTATATCTTCTTTACATCTATTTGTAACGCATAATTATCTTATTAATTATATTAATTATGTGCTGTATAAGAAAAAAGAATTTACGAGTTTTTCCGACACGTGTGTTATAATTTAATGTAGCATGTATAACTTCATGATAACTGTAGCGAAAGAGCTTTAATTAAGCTTTAATTTCGACGTTTAACATGTGAGATCGATAAGGTATTAATGCCGTGATGGTGATTGTATGATTAAAAAACACATATTGAAGGGAAAGCTTGGTCAAAGAGGGTGTAAGACGCGAAAAATGAATGTATTCCTGCGTGATTTCCACACGTAACAGAGTTAAGCTTCGTGTCTGTCTATTATCGCGTGCTTAATCGCCTCTTTCTACTGGCCAGTTAATTAGAACTCGCTGGCTAGTACTCGGACTTGACTAACACGATATATATGTATGCAGGACTCGGTCGGAATGTTTTCAATCAAATAGTAAATACACTTACTGTCTTCTCCCTGACATGGCATTCCAGGAGCAGGTGGCACGTTTGGAAAAACTGTAACAGAAAAAGAATTTACACTCGTTTCGTTGACTAAAAATATGACGGATTCTTCCTTCATCTCTAATTTTTCATCCAGATGATAAAATTTTGAACGTTTTTGTTAAAAATAAATCTAAAATTTCTACGATTACTATTAGATGATAATTTTTATTTCTTATATTTAAGAATTTTTTTTATTTAATGTTCCAACCCAAATATCCTTTTTTTGACTTTTATAAATAAAAATGTGATGGCGCCGCTTTCGAGAAAATCACTAATCATTACTTTTTTTAAGATGAAATCCGATTTCTTTTTTTTTAATTTTAGGTCGAGACAACTTCAATTATATATATATATATATATATATATATATATATATATATATATATATATACACACAGGGTAGACCATTTTAATCAATACACGCAGATATCTCAAAGTGAGCAAAATAGACAAACATGTTTTATACAAAAGTTGTAGAATTCAGAGGGGAACACTTCACGAAGACCTTGACCCTGACCTTGGCGTCAAATTTAGGGGTCATTTTAAAGTCAAGTTGATTTTTTTAAATGGAACCACCAATTTTTCATATCATTTTCAAAATTAATTTTCTATCGGTCTTTTGCATTGGGTCAAACTAACCTAAACAATAAGAAAACTGTAATTATTTAACTTTCTTGGTTTCTTTTTATATACACATAAACAGCCCAGATTTGTTATTATAAATACTTTAATTCTAGTAAAAGATTTTTCATTTTGTACAGCTATAATAAGAATTAAATGAAAATAATGTTTGTCGATCAAACAGACCTAACTAGCATCCTCTTAATATTCAAAAATTTCAAAAATGTTCAACTCATAAAAGAGAATTAAGAAAATCCTTAATTAGTATATGTATAATATATGGTTGAATTTATCTCGACAAGACAATCCAATTTTTGTTAGAAAAAAATCGATTTCTACTTAAAAAAAAAAAGCGATGATAAATGAATTACTCGAAAGTGGTGCCACCTGTAAACAAATTAATATTGTCTTGTATCTCACTTCAAGTCAAACAACTCTTGTGCAAAACAATTTTTCTAAAGCTGTATTTAAAAAGTAGGAGATTAAAAATAGTCCACCCTGTATAATTTCTTTCTTATTTCTCATTTTATCATCATAGATTAGCAATATATAATGACAAGAATTATCATGCAGGATTTGAAATTATTATATGTATGTAGAATTTTAATATAAGTTATATTAATATATATGTATATATATATATATATATATATATATATATATATATATTACCAAAATTAATAATCATCAAAATGTTCACAATATAGATCAGATTTTATCTGAAGATGCGATATCATTTCTAATATCGTAAGCATTAATGATTTAATATTGCGTATTTGATCTATCAAAGAAACACAATTGATGGCGATCGATTGCTCTTTATCTTTCTCCTTCCTTCCCTCCCCACTTTCTTTCTCTCTCTTCCTAACAAAAAAAATTACAAAATAAATGAACGGAGAGTAATAAGGCTCGCAAACTTACATGGAAAGCAATTCACGTACCGGAACCCAATCGAGGTTCGCTGTTCATTATCCAACATAGCGTATGTACTAGTGTCCTCACTCCGGTTAGAGTTAGATAACAAGTAACACTGAATCCTATTCAAGCCATCGAGCGTCGCGTTATCACTTATCGGTGTTGCCGTGTGCGAAAGAGAAAAGAGGAGAGAGAGAAAGAGAGACAACAAGACACCGATGATGAAATAGACGCGCGGTAGATGGCCACTTTGATGTGCAACGCGCTCGCGATTAAATTTCGTCGCGATTCCATGCGTGTCGATAAAATCGTAAAATCAATGTGCATAAACATTGGCAAAAAAAATGATTTTTTAATCTAGTTTTTAAACTGTCAATGTTTGCTTTTCTTCGGTCAGTGATCATAATTGTATAAGTTTTGATTGGCAGGGACGAGGATACAAGTTAAATAATCTTGGATCGAATCGTATAATATAATGGAGATTAAATGCAATCAAACATATTACATCGCCAGTGTGTCGCCGGTGAATAAACTTTAATGAACTTTATGAAATTTCAAAATCTATGAGACATGAAAAACTGACGGGAAGTTGAAAGATCAGAATGGAAATAAAATTAAAAATTGTGAATAATTGATATAATTAATATAATTATATAAATTAGTAGATTTAAAGTGGCTAATTAGATTTGGATAACTAACAATAAATCCGTGAAGAAATTCAAGAAAAAGCTCGAATAGCTGACGCTTAAAACATTACAATGAAAGAGAGGGAGAGAGAGAGAGAGAGAGAGGAAGAGAGAGAGAACAATAAAAAGTTTTTATCTAAGGCATGATTTTTATCAGATAAAAATTGCCAATTTTTTTGAATATCAAATATAGATTTTCAGTTTTTAATTAGGGTTTCAAAAGAGAAAAAAGACACGACAAATTTGAAGTAAAAACGATTTTTCTGTTTTCTTCCTATCAATTTTTTCAGAAAATGTGGAAAAAATGTTTTTTTTCTGTAGATTTATTGTATTATGTCTTAGCACGATTTCATCTTTACAGTTGAATTCAGCAGACTATTGTAGAGGTTATCATATCTTGAGAATGATTAGTTACAGGTAAAAAATTATCATATAACATGTGTAATTTATTATATCGTTTTAATAGGACAGACTTAGGAGTTGACTTCAACCATTTATTTTTATAGTAAAAATAATAAAATATTACTTGATAAAATAAATAAAAGAAAGAAACAATACTTGTCACAAACTTTAAAAGTACGTATGCATACATAATGTTATTATGGCTTCTAAAATATTTTTCCGTGTTTTTAAAATATATTTTCCTACTTTTTAGAACCCTATACTCTCAATTCTCGATCAATGTAGGAGGGGGGGTCGATAAACATTATTTATATAAAACAATAACAACACAAGTCGATTAATAGACATAGCTAAAAAAATCTAAGGATCTAAATATAATCTTTAATCAAGATTTTATTATATAGTTAAGATATAAAAAAATGAATGAATTTATAAATAACTATTTATTATTGAATTAGGAAAAAGCGGAATCAATTTATTAATCGAAAATTTTATTTAAAATATAATTATCATTAATAGATTTTTTATAAATCTATTATAAATTTAAATGATTAACTAAAAATTGAAATGTTGCTAAAAATTAAGATCTTCAAGATTATTATAAAAACGCACATGCGAGGATTTATTAATATAAAAAAACTGATTAAAAAAAGATTAGACTCACAACAGCATATAATTTATCGTACTGATGTTTGTTTACCTCTTCTCCCTATTAGGTGTAAATATAAAGTAAAGCGCGGCTGCTAGAATTACATGTATACATCGTGCGATCGCGACAAGTTTGCTAACGAGGTCATCGTTGCTCCTTCATTTGAAGTTACACGTAATCGAATCATTAGTTATGAGGGAAAGCCTGCAGGGGTACACGTACACGTATCGATGATGCAGGACAAGATGGTATACGCGAATGAGGGGGGAGTTTCAAACGCGCGTTTCTTGAAATATTCAGGACTAATTATCGCAAAGGGAGATCGATGACATGTACGATAAAGACGATATACAACACTTATTATCCTCCCCCTAAACGGGGGGATACGTGCAACGAGTTGCATGCGGGATGCACGAAAACGCGGGACCCTGTAGAAAGCACGATCTATAATAGCGTAAGTGCATAAGTGCATCGGCGCGCATGTACGCGAAGAAGGTGCAATCAAGATCGTATTTAAAATTTTGAACTAAATCATTGATATACGGTATAGTTTCAAGTCGTATATTCATAATGCATACCAAACAAAATGACTACTACCAAAAAGTGATAGTACTAACCAAAACAAATTTTTTGTCACTTTCAAGTAACATTGTTGTGAGATGAGAAAACAGAGATAAACTTTATCTTTAAAACACAGTAATAGCGAAATGATCGCTTAACATATTACATATTATAATTTAAAAGATAATCAAAAACAATAACAATTTTATAATACAAAAATCAAAAAATTTGTAACTATTTTACGAAATTAGTATGAAAAATAAATCAGTAACGAGTAATTATCGATTTGCAATAAGCGTAATAAAATTTGATATGTATAAAAAAAATTCATCATTCATGATGATGATGATGATGAAACAAAAAAAAAAAAAGATTAAACCGAGAACACAATCACCGATGTAACCTCACCTGACTCCCTTGTTTCAATGAGAACAAAATCGCCAATAATTAATTCATGTGTGACCGACTTAGTTTTATATTACTGCAATGCGCTAAACGTTGGGGACTACGACGATTTCTGTCAACAAGACCACGAAAGCCGGCCAAAAGGAGGCGCGTAGTAATATAGACATAGTATGTGATATAGCATCACCGAGAAACAAAAAAGACACGAGTTTTTCTAGTCGTCATGCCCAGTCGCGTCGAACGAAATCTAGGCCAGAAATGCGATTGTGAAACAGAGCAAACGAGATCCAAAAAGATTTTAATCTAATTCAAATATCAGACATTAATTAAAAAAAAGTACATTGAAGATGACGGGGGAGGATCCCCTTATCACACATCCACATACATGGATAGACCGATACCTAGGGTAACCAGCACGATTGACTAGTCAGAGAGTCCTAATGTTCAATTGACTAATTAACAATAAGGGATTTATACAAATCTTCTCGAAGAT